TATATATATATATATAAATAAATAAATAAATACATACCAACAGGGTGACTGAAATGTTGATTTTGGAAAATTGTAAATGGATTAAGGGCCCAGACAGACTTAACAGAGTATTTCCTGTGGGTTGTTTAAAATTTTACAATGAAGATTTTGTGGATTACTTTAATCAAGGTTAAATATATATGTTGTGTTTTTGTAACTCTTAATGGATTTTTCTCAACTACGACTGAATTAAAAGGCTTTAAACATTTGCTGATAATAGAAAAGATATGGGAAATTACTCTTGCTGTATTTTTAGAGAAAGTGTTGTTGCTGTGTTAAAAGGAAAAGAATAAAAAAAAGATTCATTTCATGAAGGTTAAAATGACCATTGGCTTACCAGAAAGGTCCTTTTGTGTGCACTGCAGGAGAGTCCAAGCAATGGGTTAGTCTGGTTGCCCTGAAACTGAGGAATCTTTTTCCTTGGCCACGCCTCTGGTGCTCCTCAATGCCAGATTTTTGACGAGTTCTGGAACCAGTGAAGGCTGAAGGTGTGATGATGCAGTAGAAGGAAGTCTGAGTTGATTTGATGGTTCCGAATCCCTGGATCCGAAGGACCAGGGCAGGTTGGATTCTCCCGCAGTGCACAGAAAAGGATCCTTCAGGTAAGCCAAAGGTCATTTTCCTGTGCACTGCTTGGAGAGTCCAAGCAATGGGACATACCCAAGTTTGTCACTAGGGCGGGAAGAAGGTCTGTCCTAGGATTCGGTAGTGGAAACAACCCCCTGGAGAACCCACCTGCTGAACGATGCCTCAGCTGAGGCAAACATGTCCAATTTATAGTTTCTGACAAAGGGCAATGGGGATGACCACGTAGCCATCTGCAGATGTCGTCTATGATAGCCTGGGTTGCCCAGGCCACGGTGGTGGTGGCGGCACTTCTTGTAGAGTGAGCGGTTATGTGTCTAGGTACTGCCCTGGTCTGGTGTTCATATGCATCTGCAATGCACGCTCTCAGCCACCTGCTGATAGTAGAAGATGTTACTTTCTTTCCCATGGACCCTGGCTGGAATGACACAAAGAGGGCCCTCTGATCTGCAAAAATCTACTGTCCATTTGATGTATGTCCGTAGGGCCCGTCTGACATCCAGTGTGTGCCAGACACGTTCCCTTGGGTGTCTGAGGAGCAGGAAAAAGTTTGGTAAAATTACCTCTTGCACCCTCTGGAACCAGATGTTAATTTTTGGGATGAAGGGAGTGTCGAGGCGCAGTACAACTTTGTCCGGATGGATGATACAAAGGTCCTCTCAGACTGATAAGGCCACCAATTCTGATATTCGCTTTGCAGATGTTATTGCAACAAGAAAAACTGTCTTAAGAGTGAGGTGTCGAAGTGAAGATATGCGAAGAGGCTCGAAGGGAGCTGAAGTGAGAGCCTGTAGGACCACAGTTAACTGCCAGGTCGGGTACCAGTGGACTACCGGAGGGCTAGTTGGAGGCGCCCTTGAGGAAGCACTGAACCTTTGGCATCCTGCTGAGGGGCTGGGCTGGAGCCCCAGACCAAACGGTGGATAATGCAGCTACCTGGAGCTGGAGGGTGTTAGGAGCGAGCCCCTTGTCGAGGGCCTCCTGGAGAAAGTCCAATATGCAAGAGACAGGTGTGGTGACCGGGTCAAGTTGAAGATTATCCCACCACTTGGCAAAGGTGGACCACGTAGAATCGTAAATTCTGGTCATTGAAGGTTGTCTGGATGCCTGGATGGTACATATCACCTCTTCCAACAGACCGTCCCTCCTCAGGAGGTACCCCTCAAGTGCCAGATGGCCAACTGAAGCCACTGGGGGTCCGGGTGGACAATGTCCCCTGGCTGTGGGAGACCTGGCCCTGAGGGATCCGCCATGGGCTGGAAACTGACAAGCTGATGAGGTCGACGTACCAGGACCACCAAGGCCAGTGACCTGTGACCAGCAGTACATCTGCCTTCTCCGAGATGATTTTGCGGATCACCTGTGGTAGAAGCGGGAGTGGCAGGAAGGTATACAACAGTTCTTGAGGCCACCTTCAGAGGAGGGCATCTTTTCCCTCTGCTCCCGGCGAGTGGAAGCGGGAGAAGAACCGTTGGAGTTGCGTGTTCTCGTGGGTGTCAAACAGGTCGACCACAAAAGTGCCGAACCTGCGAGACAATGGGAGGAAAAGGGCCAGGCTCAATCACCACTGCATTATCTATGGACGTCCTGCTCAACCAGTCCATCTGAGTGTTGTCTACTCTCGAGATGTGGTCGGAGTGGATGGATTCGACGTAACGCTCCACCCACCTGCCCAGGGCCTCTGTCTCTGCTATGAGTTTCCTGAACCTTGTGCCACCCTGCCGATTTATGTGTGCCGTGGTGGCCACATTGTCCGTTATCAAGAGCACGTGGTGATGTAGAATGTCCTGTTGAAAATGATGCAGGGCGAGTCTTGTGGCCTGCAGCACTAGGAAATTGATGTTACAAGCCACTTCGGCTGGAGACCACTTGCCCTGAGTTACGCAATGTCCCATGTGTGCACCCCAGCTGGCTGTTGTTATGACTACTCTCACAGGTTCCTTGAACAGATGTCCCTTCAGTATGCTGCTGATTGTCACCACCTGAGGGACCTCTTCATGGTCAGAGGAAGATGAACCTTCATGGAAGAGTTGCTTCTGTTGGCTATCTGATGGGGTAGGAGGAGCCACTGCAACTCCCAGGAATGGAGCCATGCCCAGGGAACAACCAGGATGCACAAGATCATCTTCCCTAACAATTGCAAGAGGAGCAGCACAGGGACCTGCCTCAACCCCTGAACTTTGCGGACTAGGAAGAGTAAGCTGTCTATCCTGTCCTGGGAAAGGAACACCCTGCAGTTGGAGGTGTCTATCACCGCCCCCAGGTGGAGAAGTTTGGTAATTGGGGTGAGATGGCTTTTTCCAGGTTCAAGGAAAACCTGTGGTTCCGGAGGGACCTCATGGTAATATGGAGATCCCGCAAAGCCTGTTTCCTGGACGACTACTGGATGAGGATGTCATCCAGGTAACATTGGAATCTTACAGGTCTGCGCCTGAGGTGCGCTCCGACTACTGACAGATTTTTTGTGAAGGTCCTGGGCACCGACGGCAGGCCGAATGGTAGGGCCCTGTATTGATAGTGTCGGTCGGTGTAGAAGAACCGCAGGAAACTTCGGTGTGGTGGCTGAATTGGGATATGTAGATAAGCCTCCTTTCGGTTGATAGATGTCTACAGGGGCCGTGAGATGACAGTTGAAGCCGTCCCCCAATGGGAGGAGATCCTTGCTGGTAACTTGGATTTGCAGAAGGACCTGCTGGAGGCCCTGCCGTGGTTGGATCTGTGGAAGTTGAACTGCTGCCTACCCCTGTCCTGAAAGCACTGTCTATCCTGGGACCTGTCCGATGACTCACCAGCAGGCCGGTTGGTGGAGGAGGAGCCTGAGGAGTCATTTGAACGAAAGGACGGCCTCCTGAAATAGGGAGTGGACTTACGGTCCTGCTTCTTGGTCAAGGTAGATAGTATTTTTCGCTTATCCTTGGATTTGGTCTAAGACCTCTCCAAAAGTTTTGTCCCCTTGAAGGGGGCGGAAGCCAACTTCCACTTGGGCTTCTGGTCCACCTGGCAGTGACGAAGCCAAACAAGGCGGCGAGATGTCACATTGGAGGCTAACGCTCTAAAGGCAAACTTTGTTGTGCTAAGGGAGGCATCAGCTGAGTACTGCACCGCAACAATAATTTTTGTTATATCCTGGCGTAGACGAGTGTCTCCCACTGAAAGCTTTGCCTGAAGTTCGCATAGCCAAATGACTGAAACCCTATTGAAAAAGGATGCGGAGGAAGATGCCTTAATGTCCCAGGCCACCACCAGATGGGTCTTATGGCACGCCTTCTCCGCTTTCTTGTCTTCTGCCTTGAAGCCTTCCATGAGGTTGGCAGGAAGGACAGAATTTGAGGTGAGGGCCACTATAGGAGGGTCTACAGAAGGTAGGACCAAAACGTCCTCTAGAGCTGATTCTACTGAATAAAGCTTCTTGTCCCCACCACTGGGAGCAGCCAGGGAACCAGGTTGGACCCATTGAGGCTGAACGACATCCATGAAGAGACTAGGGACCGGAACGAGGTCCTGCTGTGGAGCCTGTACTTTAAACATGTTGTCATTAGGATTAGCTGGGGTGAAATCCGAGGATCCCTGACTGGACTAGGGCTTGGTACCCACTTGGGTGGTGTTCTTAGTCTTATGCAAGATGGACTTAAACAAACTAGGTTTAAAGAGGCAGGAGAAGGCAGGGGCATCCGGGGAAGGTCTTTGTCCTCCGAAAGTTCCTCCTCCTCCTCCAAGTCTTCCAAGACGGAGACCTCGCTGAGCGTAGAAGATTCCAGAGAAGGATGGCAGACCTGGCGGCTGATGGCGGTCTCCTCCTGTCTGGGCCCAGCTGAAGTTGGTTTATCTGGCAATTGGTTCCTCATTTGAAGCCTCTCGGCTATGCCCTGGGAGATGGTGCAGGAGATAACCGCTTGCATGTGGGTAGATAACTTGGGTTCCTGAGCTGCTATGTTGTCAGACCTGCCCCTGTTCCTGGAGGAGGAGGGACCCTGTTGGACAAAGGATGACTCCGTAAGTTCCCCAGGAATGGGCCTCATGTGAGTAGGCCCTAACTCAGATATTGAAGAAGGAGTAGGGGAACCTGGATCTTCCAGGGACCTATCTGGCAATAAATCTTGGGACTCCACCTCCTCATCGATAACACACAAGGGATCCCCCCTTGAAGGTGGGCTGGGTCAACTCAAGTAGTGGGCTGCGGAACCTCCTTTGCTGCCGGGCGCTGGGCCTTCTTGAACTGTTTCTCGAGGGCCCGCTACCTCTTTTCAGCATCCCTGTCCGACGCCGCGGATGATGTTGGGTAGGGATGACTATCCTGACTGGCCACCCTGCCCTTCCTTACCCTCTTGCCCTTGCCTGAGGATGTTCCCCGGCTAGGGGCTTGGGAGGGTCCTGATCTACTATCAAGGGAGGCAGATGTTCCTGGCTGCTCCATAGCAAGTAGCATGAGCTTCAGCCAAGTGGACCAAGGCAAGTAGGATCAGGCAAGATGGAGACTCAGGTGGCTGGCTCTGGAGCAGTTGGTGTTGAAGTGAGAGGCACTGATGATGATCTGAGAGCAGTTAATAGAACAGTGTCAATTAGGAGAAGGCTGGAGGTCTGGCAAGAGTCCAATGGAAAGCCAGCCACTGAAGAGGAGGCACGGTGGAGGAAATGCAGTTGCAGGACGTTGCAGATAAGGCAGAGAGGGCCACTGGAAGTAAAACCACAGCCCTCCCTGTGCTAGTGTCTGACCGCCAGGTGACTAAGACACCAGTGCCGCCTGAGGAGTCTTTGTGGGTGGCAGTGGCCCTGCCAGAGCCCCAAAAAGGGCCAACTAACCACCCGGCGGCTATCTGCTGAAGCGGGGATGAGTGGTAGGGGGCCGTTGGAAAGGGTGTGAAAAAAAGCCCTTCCAAAATGGCCACCACTCCAGTGCGAGGGTGGAGAAGAGGAGAAATGGCAGCCACAAGTTGTAAAATGGTCGCGCACCTCTCCGTGACCAGGTTCGCCTTCCCGAAGGCAAGTTAGATTAAAGTGCTCGCTTCCAGCAGCCGCCAGGAGCCTTGCTGCCCTGCCACACTTTTAAATGATCTGGCAGCTCTCCGCTGCCGTCCTAAAGTGCGTGGCAAGCGGAGCACCCCCCACATCCACCCCTACCTCCGAGTCTCTCTGGAAGCCGACAAACTCAAATTCAAGGGGGGAAAACAAAAAAGATATAAAACTCAAGGTCTAAACTAGAAGGGAACAACTATAGAAAAACAAGGAAAAAGAAATAATAGGTAAGGGAATGGAGAATCCAAGCCTGAATTAAATTAAAATCTGGAGCTCACAAAAACAATCCCTAAACAGGCCAGACTGAGGAAAAAATCTGGCATTGAGGAGCACCAGGAGGCGTGGCCAAGGAAAAAGATTCCTCAGTCCTAGGGCAACCAGACTAATTTAACCCACTGCTTGGGCTCTCCAAGCAGTCCACAGGAAAATATATTGGTTTAATTGGTTGGTTTA